CTGTATCCTCGTTCTTGTAGGCCAGCTCCGCCAACATGGCCGACTCATTGACATCAGAACTGTTGTATTTTATCAACTGCAACAACAGACACAAATAAGTAATTTGAATAACCCAGGAGATCCCATAGTGACAAGAATATCAGCTTGAATAGTAACAAGTCACCCCGCGTTGACTAGACGCTGGAAGATAGAAGATCCCCAGCCATTTGACTCTTTCAGTTCGTAAAACAAGAAACCCTGTGTGGCTGGACTTACTCATCCAATGGGTCAAGTAGAAAGCAATTGATGTCACTTGTGGGACAGGATTTAAAAAAAAAAAAAAAAGTGAATATCACAGTAAAAAAAAAAAAAAAAGCTGACATATTATTATGCTGGGGCATTTGATGTTTAGTTGGGCCATGCTAAAACACTGAACAACACATACATCTCTCATAGGGAATGTGTATTAAGGCCCTGTGGATGTAGTATACATGTTATTATTTTAGGGTCACAACTGATTCATTGCGGCATTAACTATGACCTTATGGGACGGAAATACTTATCAAGACTATAGCAACAGTTAATTTATTTAATAATCCTCGGAGAATCGATATCATAGCACTCAAGACGTACTCAAAGATGCTCCGTCTCCAGTAGCTAATATCTTAAGGAGTAGCTGCTGATTGTTCCGGCAGCTTACAAGTACGCACGTCGCGCTATTCCTCTCATACGCCTCTCCTTGCCGCATCCACACTTCATTCCAAGTTCACACATTACACGTGTGATTTCCTCTAACATCGTATCTTCCGTCAGCGTTCGTTCATAAATGGTTTTCAGAATGTCTTCATAGTCCAGTCTGAGTGTTCCTGTAGCTATCGGCTTTGTGTCTATGAGATTCGCTCGTTTATTTCCTCGCAGTCATTGTCATATAGACCTGGTGATACTTGGTATCCACTCATGCCACTGTTGTCCATTTTGGACGTTTCGTAATACCGACCGAGAATCGGATGCTATCTTCCGCTGGTAACTCTGATCTGAACTATCCGCAAGATCTACAGTGACTGCCTTCACCTCCATCTTCAGGCTTAAAGTTGTAGACAAAATCGCACTATGTTTTTCTGCCACAACTTCACTCTAATTGAGAAACCCCCATCCACACCCGCCTTTCCTGATAAACAGAACCATTGTCCTTTGTTTACTGTTTAATCATCTAGACCCGCGTTTTCACCTATCAGTAAGTGTGCCTCCAATTTAGCCACGCCCTTACACCCCTCCCTACATTCTCTTCCTTACATGATCTGACTTGGTGTACACTACTGCTGTATGTGAGTGAAAACTCACTCCTGCCCCCCGGTACATTTGCTCGACTAGTGCCGCCAGCTCCTTGCTATCTTTAACTATTGCTATACATTGTACATGTTTTTCTCTCTGGTCCATTGTTCTGTTGTCAGGTCTGACAGACTCTGCAATCCTTCAGTTTGCCATGCTACTTAGTGACTCGAATGCAAACCTTGGTTTGTGCTAGTGCAGGTCTAGGCTCTACTAATCTGACCATCATCATACAGTTAATAAACATCAGCATCGTCACGGAACTCGAGACACGCTCTTACGGGCATCGTCTTCCTTCGCAGATTTTAAAATCTACTAAAGGTTTCTTAAAATCGCGTCTATTAGGCCGAAATATGCGGATTTCGCAGCTTAGCTGCAAACCACTACAAAATATGCCAACCGCCTTTTTAAGGTCGAACGCAGAGGAAGAAAAAGAAGAAGAAGAAGAAGAAGAAGAAGAAGAAGAAGAAGAAGAAGAAGAAGAGAAGAAGAAGAAGAAGAAGAAGAAGAAGAAGAAGAAGAAGATCAACAGCAACTTACTAGTTCATTTTGGTCAATGTCCTCATCCAGATCGTTGTCAGATTCTTCACTAACAACGGAGAGGTTGCAATAGTTTGCCATTCTGCCTGCTGAACAAAATACACAAGGTGTGACTAATTTGATCATTACTAACGTGCCAGCTTGTTGGCCTGTCGGTTGTTCTGTTGTCAGGTCTGACTCTAGCTGTAGTCGTCTAGTCCATTGTTCTGTTGTCAGGTCTGACTCTAGCTTTAGTCGTCTGGTCATTGTTCTGTTGTCAGGTCTGACCCTAAATTTAGTCGTCTTGTCCATTGTTCTGTTGTCAGGTCTGACTCTAGCTTTAGTCGCCTGGTCCATTGTTCTGTTGTCAGGTCTGACCCTAGCTTTAGTCGTCTGGTCCATTGTTCTGTTGTCAGGTCTAACTCTAGCTGTAGTCGTCTGGTCCATTGTTCTGTTGTCAGGTCTGACTCTAGCTTTAGTCGTCTGGTCCATTGTTCTGTTGTCAGGTCTAACTCTAGCTGTAGTCGTCTGGTCCATTGTTCTGTTGCCAGGTCTAACTCTAGCTGTAGTCGTCTGGTCCATTGTTTTGTTGTCAGTTCTGACTATAGCTTTAGTCGTCTGGTCCATCGTTCTGTTGTCAGGTCCGACCCTAGCTTTGTCATCTGGTCCATTGTTCTGTTGTCAGGTCTTACCCTAGCTTTAGTCGTCTGGTCCATTGTTCTGTTGTCAGGTCTGACTCTAACGGTAGTCGTCTGGTCCATTGTTCTGTTGTCAGGTCTGACTCTAGTTGTAGTCGTCTGGTCCATTATTCTGTTGTCAGGTCTGACTCTAACTGTAGTCGTCTGGTCCATTGTTCTGTTGTCAGGTCTGACTCTAGCTTTAGTCGTCTGGTCCATTATTCTGTTGTCAGGTCTGACTATCTTTAGTAATCTTATCCTTCATTTGTTATAAGTCCTGACTATCTTTAGTTATCCCATTTCTTATTTGTCTTGATACCTGACTATCTTTAGTCATGCGATTCCCCGTTTTATTGTCAGGTCTGAGTCTAGATTTGGTCGTCTGATCAATTGATTTGTTGTGCAATCACACTGTAGCTTTAGTCGCTCGTTCAGAGTTCCCATACCGATGATACCAGGAACAGTTTGGTTATATATCCGGCCTACACTTCCACTGACTGTAGAATGTCGGTCAGATCCGGTGGCCTCTCACTGCCGCACTTTTCTCTCCAGACGATGACGATATATTCGCGCTTTAGGATTGTCCACTTGCTTCTAAAGGGCCTCGACCACATCCAGCATGTCGCGCATCAATTCATCACCCAGTAATGCAGAATTGGGCCAGTTTGTCTTTTCGTTTTCAAACGCACCAGCAATGTCATAGGAGGATGAGAAGGAAGATAAGAAAGAAGCAGAAGACAAAGATGACACGGAAGGAGTAGAAAAAGAAGAGAAAGAAACAAGAGCAAGAAGAAAAAGAAGAAGAAGAAGAAGAAGAAGAAACAAGAGAAGAAGAAGAAAAGAAGAAGAAGAAGAAGAAGAAGAAGAAGAAGAAGAAGAAGAAGAAGAAGATTACTACATACTGTACTCACGGCTAAGACAAACTATGCCTAGCTCCTTTATAGGGGAGAGTTAAGGAGAGTTAACATGCAAACAGCCGACATACAAGCATGTCGGCCAATACGCTGTTCTCTATACTCAGTAGTAAGCTCACAGATTGATGACGACTGTAGCGACACCATTAAGCACACGGCTAGCAAAGAAAGCGCACCATTTAGCACTGTTGATTATCGTCTTCAGATCCGAACCCGTGCCAATAAGTGAACCAAGAACTGACATCTCCAGCAGGTTAAACATGGTCCAGTTTCGTAAAATGAAATCGGAGTCGGAAGTGACATCCCTAAATTATCACATTCTTATAGTACCCTTGAATACGTACGATATATGATGAATCTGCACCACTGGGTTGTGAACTGATACATGACAAGGCAAATGTGGTCAGGCTCTTTGCAAACAAGCAAAGGAGTCAGAAGCGAAACAAGATTTTTATAGCCTGGTGAGAATGGATGTAACCATAGGTTCTGGCCGGTTTACTACAATCAGGGGGAAGGCAAGACAGACATATGACCAGATTACGACTGTGTCATTAGTAATGGAACTCTGCACTGGCTGCTGAAGATGGGGATGGAGCTTTTTGTCATAGCACTGAGGGGTATCAGCACATGAACTGATACATGCCGCTGAAACAGCAGATTGTGGACAGGCATGGTCCTCCACGCCTGTTGGCAAGCCTCTTGTTGACGATGATATAAAATTCTAAATTATATAGTTTAAAACCGTTAAGTATTTTTAATTCCAAAGATAATTTAATTTTAACATTTGTCAAATCAAATTAAAAAACCGTTAAAGACATTAAAACAAAAGTTGAATGCACTCGAAAAGAAATGTCTGAAGAAACTAATAATTAATTAAATTCAATGAATTCAAGACCTGCGAAGAAATTAGAAACAATTCGGACAACTGCAGGTGAACAATTTTAAGACAAATAAGACAGCTATATATTGTGTCCATCTTGAGGAGACGCGAACACAGAATTGCCAAAACAGGAGCATAAATGGGAAACAAATTGTTTCAGGAGACGAAGGCTTTCAAAATAACCACAAGGACGAAATGAGAGACTGAATGTATTGGACTGGATTGCATCCGCGATAGTGAAACAACTGCACAGAAAAGAATGAAATCATAGAACAGGCTTGAGCACTATATAACTCACTACAGCACAAAAGATTGATAATTATGAGACATCTCTATTTTAGCAGCTCTGCATCATAGAGCAGTAACACTGCAGTCAGGTATAATCCAGGATAAAAATTGACAAATAAGGACATCCACAGAAAACAAGACAGATAACCCGAGTATGTAATTGAACTTTATGAATACACCATGCTCTGACTTACGCGATTCGATAGGATACATTTCCATTAGGAGGCCACTCGTTACTGCAGTGGCGCTCTTAGTGTCTGCTGACGCCAAATCCTCTGGATTAGAGGACATACTAACTGACCTACTTAAAACAAGAGACGCCTTCCAAACTCTCGTTTGCAGTGGAGTTAAAACCACAACTACCTACCTATTTTCATTAGATCAGTGTTCTTTAACCTTTTTATACTCGAAGACTGCGGATGGAAAAACGTGATAGACTGCCAGCTAACCA